TGCGAGATTTGGTACAGATATAAATGTAAGTACCTCCACACGCTTGATGAAAAACCACATAGATGGTGAAGAAAAGTACCAGACTTAATAAAAACTATTTAATTATTATTAAGAGGAAAGACTAAAGAATTTTTATTATTTTATTAATTCTTTTAATTCTTTTTAGCACGTTCAAACTTTTGGTTAATTATGTTGTTTTTTTTTTCTATTTACATAAGCGGTCGGTGTAATATTTACGATTCGTGCTTTGGCGCTTTTTTCTTCAGGTGAAAAACACATTGATTTGAAATTCTTGCAAAATTCAAATAACTTTGGAATTTTAATGAAATTTTCAGAACTTTTTTACAAATTAATCAAATTATTTTTGTAAATTTTAGGTTTATGAAAATCTTGGTAATTTGTTTTACATATGTTACCCCCCCCCACACACACACCACTGATTTAATTTTATGAAATTTCGAGAAATTAAATTGTAATCTCAAAATTTGTTTTATTATTTACAGGCAGGACTTCTTCGCGAACTTATCATCATCATTTTTTGTTTTTTGTTTTTTTGGAAAATAGAACCCGCAGTTATCGAAAATCTGCTCTGGATCGTAAAATAAAAAATACAATAAAACTATGACATTATTTAAAAAGAAAATCTCTTAAATGCTTTAATCAATAAAATTTATTAAGGACTCTATTTTCTTAACAAAAAGAAAATTTGATGAACAATGAATTTTTACAAGTAAATAGAAACTTGAGACGAGTTTAGTCGGAATAATAAAGTTAGAGAAAAATCTTGGAAGGTGACTCAACGGCTGAAAGCTGAATAAAACTGTAGGTCCGTGTGGTCTAAGTGGAAAAGGAGTGTAGCTTACTGACAAGAATTATGTCTAAAGTTTACAATAATTCAACCAAGGAAGTTACATGAAGTTACAATACCGTCTCAATGGCATTTAGCTCGTTGTGAAAAAAAAGGTTTCACATGATGAAGTACAGCTGGTAATTGTTCTGATCAGTTTTCCTAATGGGTACCTCGACTTTACGAACTTAAGTGCCATACTAGATTAGAATTAGGTTTCATTATTTTACAATTAAAATTGCAATATACAACCGAAAGTTCTGTGTTAACAGTTTACATCAATTCCCTTTTGTGGAACTCTCTTCCGGCTCCTTGCTTTTCGCTCAACTTTGATCTTCAAGAATTTAAAGGCAATGTCAGTTATTATCTTCTGTTTTCTTAATTGCTGGACTTTTATTGTTCTTCTGCTAAATAATATTTTTTCTCTTTCTCGTATTCTTTCACACCCAAAAACTCCTTGCGTCTTAGTGGGTTTGTTTCCTTGCTTGGAGTGAAATGATAAAAAAAAGCTCACAGAATAAATGTACACAAACAAAGGTTCAAATAATAATGCGATAGTAATACAGGTCAATATTTTCAAAAATAAGATAAGACATTACATACCGGCGATGCTATCATTTGCAAGAAAAATTTGGAAGATTAAAAAAGTAAGAACCGCATGTCTTAAGCTTGTCACAACTTGCCAGTACCAGTGTTTTCTAAAGATGAAAAAGGAAGTGGTCAAAGCAGTGGCTGAGACTTAATGTACCTATGCTATATGTCCAATATATTCTCAGTGTTTTCGGCTTTCGTGAACCAGTATCAAATAATTTATTTGGATATTATTCAAATGTGTTAAGAAGAATCGGTCTAAAGATAAGCCTTGTGCTTTTTCCATTTTTTTCTTATTCAGATTTTTCAAACATCGTGTCATCTCATCACGCGTCAGCTTGACGCGACTTGCATATTTTTTTTTCAAATATAGCGTGTTCATACGTTAAGTTCGGGTGTATTTTGTTTCGTTTTTCCTTTATCTTAACTGTTAAATATATTTGTTACTAAAATGAAATTTCATTAATGTTTGGTTCTTTTTTTTTTATAGACAAGATTTCGAATATTGGTACATTCTTTACACAGACCGATCAGAAAATATTGGAACCTGATGTTGAACTTTAACTTGGAAATTGAAAAAAAATCGTCAGAATCGATAAAAATCATAAAGAAGAACTTTCTTTGGCCTTAGCCAAACTATATATATATATATATATATATATATATATATATATATATATATATATATATGTGTGTGTGTGTGTATTATCCACCTTAAGTGTCCGAGTTTAGAGATGAAAATTCTTCAGAATTGGTAGGAAATAGACGAAAGAATTATTTTTTATCCATGCGTTCTCCATGTCGACACTATGAAATAAATTTGGCTATGTAATCCCAACATAGTTATAAGTTATTGACATTTGGAAAAACATTCATGAAAGTATGTTTCGAAAATAATATCCGATAATAAATTTCGCCACGATGGCTTCATCAAATGCGTGCATGCATTTGTTTGTGTTTAAAATAATTAAATCTTTTATTAGTTACTGACGTTGCTCGAGACTAAGAATTTTTTTTTTTATTAAGTCACTCATATATATATATATATATATATATATATAT